GGTGTGTATCCTTTTAAGCTAATAATAATGTAGTAAACTTTATCTTAGTAGTGCCCACACTAAAAACTAGAATAATAAGATGTTATAGCCATCCATCCATACAATAATTTTTGTTTTTAAGAAATCATATACTCCGTATAAGTTTTGAAAGTGTCAGCATGATTAATCTCATAATTAGATCTTAGAAAAAATATATATATATATATATTTTAGTTCTTTGGTATTGATATATATGATGGTACCTAATCGTACTGAACAAATATCTCCTAATTGATCGAATAATCTTTGGTGCATGCATCAGTCTGAAAGCGATTATATGTCATGTGTGTCAATATGATTCGTGACTTACTGGTGGCTAATACATATGTAACACACTTCATTGATATTTCCTCGCAGCTCATAAGTAAGTAAGTAACAACCTCGTGTGTTTTGTATTGTTATTTTTCAAATTTACTTTCAACAATTAAATTCTTTTAATCTAAACTGTTATTTTGTAAAATGTTAAATCAACATTAAATTTTATGTTTTCACAATTGGATAATGCTTTCTATTATGACTTTTGAAATAGGCAGTATGAAACAATGAATGAGAATCAACTGATTGTCAATCAAAATTAATGAAACCTTAACTAAGACCATCTCATTGCTAGTTCTATATGTATGTATTATGTTATCAAACTATGTGTATGTAATCAAAATTTTGAACCCCAATATCCACCGTTGGATTTACCAGATCCTTCTAATGTTAACACCTCGTACATGGGATTCAAATTCTATATATTATATAAAATGTTGAAAATATCCTACATTAGATTTTAAGTATGATGGTTGATGGTGTCAGTTGTGTGTAGCCTTGACATGCACACCCATTATGGACCGTAGGATTAGAGAGATTGTTGCATGGTACAATCAGAAAAAGAAAATAATTATAAATACAATAATGAATGAAAAGGAATCAATGTAAATGAGGCGTGTCACTTTTAGAGGAGGCAAGGAATTCGAGGCGATGACAGACGGATAGGGTCAGGGGTCCACGATTTCCTTTTTATTTAGCCTTTTCAGTTTTCACTCTATAATGAGTCATAAAATAAGTTGATTAGGTTTATATCCTAAAATATCTCAATTAATTACAAATAAGACATAAATTCACGAAATATTCTCTATATATACATCTATAATCATGTCTCATCCTTTCCTTGCTAAATTAATTTGGTTTTTGGTATGTTAAAGACAAAGTATAAATAGATTACATGATAAGATTATTTCTAATTAATTAACTAATTAGTAAAGTTTTGATGCTTAAATTAAATTACTTGTAACTTGAGAAACAAATTATAATTTTACTGACTGTAACCAAAATTTAATTATCCAATCAAATTGCACAAACTTCGGGTTTTAAATCTTTTGTTAAATTTAATTTGACTTTGTTTAGTGCAAGGGAAGATAAATGTACTGAAACAAGAGCTTTACTTAGTAATTTTAATTTTAGCTCTTGTTGCACCTGCATAATATTTTTTTCACGTTTTCTCTTTCTAAGAAATTTAGTTGTTAAATTCTAATTTTTATAACTTGACCAAGGCTTGAAAATTGGATCCAATGAGGAGTGACGGACACCCTCATTCACGCTTGACAAAGACTTGTCATCTTTCCTTACAATTGCTACTAATTTGCTTTATGACTGTTAGAGTACTAATTATACAAATTAATATGGCTTTATTTTTTCATTTATATTTATTCAATATATAATATTATTTTTTACTTTTAATCTACAAATTTGCTTTATGACTGTTAGAGTTAAGGATTTCTCTTGCAAACTGTTTCAATTAATTAATTAATTAAGGTTATGGCTTATGATTGCAAATTAAATATGGAGACTATTATGAAAGTGTTATATTTTACGAAGTTTCCTTTATCAATAATTTTAACATAACCTTTAATTTCTTGCTTTATTTACTTTCAATCCATTGTCCATCACTTATTTATCCACTCTCCATTTCTTTTTCAAAAAGCTTAGAATTTAAATAGTTATGAATTGATAAATAAAAGAAATGAAAACCGTGTTTTCAAAACTCATTAATTCTATATTTCATTAACTAATATACTATACCATTTCAAAAATAAATTTAAGAAAATAATTAGTCACAAATAAGATATAAATTGACAGAATATTCTCAAACACTTACACACCTATAATCAGTCATAAAGTAAGTTGATTAGATTTATAATTCTAAAATATCGCAATTACTTACAAATAAGACATAAATTGATGGAATATTCTAAATTTATTTAACGTTCATCTGTTGTGTGCTCTTGCACTCTTACAAATATCTTCTAATTGATGAAACAGTTACTTGGTGCTCATACTATACATGCTGATATTAGAAGCTGTTTCGATAAGCTATGCATACATATCCTTGCACCAAATTTTTTCTCTTTGAATTTGGATGTAAATCAATGTAGTTTTTGATATTTCCAATATTTCTTACTATTCATAAACTAGAGTCTATTTATAATTTATGTATTATCACTACCAAAATAATTTAAGAGAACCATTGTATACGTCGCATCTTATAGATTAACCTTTTATTGTTGAAGTGATCACCAATTCTAACACCAATGAGGTGCGAGATGTTATCCCGCACCTTGTTGGATGGGATAGATTCAAAACTCAAAGATCTGAAGAAAAAGTTGCTGGTGGTTGAAAACCTTCTTGCAGTGCAGAAGACAAGCAGTTGATAGAAGCGGACGTAACATATTCCCTTTCTAATAAATTTCCTTGCAACTCAAAAGTAAGAAAACGATAGAGCCACCAAAGGTTGCGTACTGAATCTGTGTATTGAATAATGTGATAAAATTCTTACTATTGATTAATATTAACTGATATTTTGTTACGTCATTCTGTGTATAAATTTGATGACATTACTAAAAAAAAATAATCTCCACCAAATGATCTGTAAAGCTGAAAATTTAGTATTGTAACATCAAGCTGGAGTCCACAAGGTTGAAAAAATAGTCCATTATTGCAGGATCACGTGATTAATTTCACATACAACCCAAACATTGCATGAGGAATCCAGGTCAGGATTTCAGAAAAAATTAGCTGGCTTTGAAGTACCGGCTAACAGCTGGCATATATGTTTTGTGGAGTCCACGCCACTCTTTTATTGAAAATATAAAACCAAAGGCATTTACTTCAAATGAATGAATTTTTTCGAGAAATTTGCTTTTCTTTCCATGACAAAATCATTGTGTCTGACCCTTTTCTTAATTAATTTTGTAAATATTTGATCCAGTAATTAAAGTAACAATCATTTTTTTATATTATATTGCTTTAATTAATTAAATAAAATTATGTCACCACCTATTGTCTTTACTTAACTCGAAAGTCCATTCCAATGGTAAATGATTTCTCTTGTAATTTTGTAACTTACTTTAATTGATTAATTAATTAAGGTTATGATTAAGAATTATCTATAGGGACTATTATAGAAGTGTCGTCTTTTGAGAAATTTCAACGTAGTCTTTAATTTCTTGCTTTATTGACTTATATCCATTGTCCTATCACTTTTTTATCCACTCCCCATTTTTTTTCTCGTTTTTTAAAAAGCTTAAAATTGCTTTATTACTTTACTGTAAAAAATTTAGAAAAATGAAAAAGAAAAAAATAAAATCTTTGGAGGAAGAGGCCACTGTTCCTTAATTAATAGTTATAATTTAAATAATTTGATTAAGGCCACTATTCACATCATCTCACGTGAAACCATAACATTAGTGTTGATACGAAATTCGCACCAACCTAAGAGAACCGATTGATCTTGATTAAATCAAAATTGATTTGTACGTGATTTAATAATAAACTAGCAATTAAATGAAAAATATGCGTGTAATGCAAAGGACACAAAAGATTTTTAAAATTGTTCGACAAATTAAAACTTGAGCCTACATCCACTATTATGTTATTGCTTTTCAGTGATTACAAGAACAATATAATATGCCTTGAATAATTTGCTAACCCCTCTCTCATAATTGAAGGGGGTTTATATATAAGTTTGAGATAAAGGAAAGAGAGAAAATATCGATATTTTTATGGTTGGATGCTAAGATCATGCTACCACCGATGTTACTCTTATCTCTTTCGAAATATCTGATTTTTGAGCTTATCCCTGGTTTTTCGAACAACCATAAAGGCTGGTCGCGACTAGCTTGCGTTGGGTTGAGCTATCCCTCTCGAAGAGCTTATACTGGGTCGTCGAACCAATGTTGAGTCAAACTGATTATGGGTCGAACTATATCATTGCGGGCTTCTGACTTCTCCGAGCGTAATGGCAAAATTGCACACAACATACATTAGAACGTATGATCTTTTAATATTGTTAATATTGACACAACATCCAAATTAAGCTTTAATTAATCTTCAGTTAATAACAAGTTACTGGTTTGATTAAACAAATAAACTTTTTTGAATAATTGTTAATAATATTATTAACAATTATGTGTTATTTTAGAGTATCAAAATTTGAATGTAAATTTGGTTTTAAATATAGAGTCAAAGTGGATATGGTAACTCAGTCAATTCATGCTAGTACAATTAATTTGGAAATTATAAATATTTGCAGGAGCTGAAAAGTTGAAAAAACAAAACAAAATAACCATTGATGGAGAAATTTTACAATGACTGTTGATTGTTGAGGGCCCCTAATATTTGAAATGAGAGAACGACATATTCGAACTAGAAGAGACTACGCACTAGATAGGGTCCTGTCCAAGGGAAGTGGGAGTGAAAAGGAGGAGAAAAAGAGGGGAGGAGAAGAAAGAAAGGTGAAAAAAATAATCATAGATCATAGAAACTTAAGCCATGTGACATCTGATTAATTAATTAATCCACCGATATTAATCAGAATTAATAAAATATTATTGGCTAAGCAGAGGCATGCGACATCCACTATATAATATAATAAAATTTTAATTTTAACAACTCATCAAAATTTTAATACTTGCAAACTTCAATATTTAAGTATTTTGACATATTAGTATTCTCGTATTTTGCGTTCAGTTTTGAGCACTCTTAAAAGAAAATTAACCAATTTTTCTTGCTTTCTCTCATCCTTCTCTTCTTGTTCCAACAACCGAAACCATGGATCTTGTTGCTCAGCCTGTGGTCTCTGAACTCTTTAAGGGGTTGTTTAAGATTTTGGGGTCCAATGAGGTGCGGGACTTTGCCCGGAACCTTGTTGGAGGGGTAGATTCTGAACTCGATGAGCTGAAGAAAAAGTTGCTGACGGTTGAAAAGCTTCTTCGCAAGGCAGAAGACAAGCAACTCACGTATGGGGACGTAAAAGAGTGGCTTGACAATCTTCAAGACTGGGCTTATGATGCGGAAGACATACTGGATAAGTTTGCTTACGAAGCTTTGCGACGCAAACTGAAGACAGAACACCAGCCGAGCTGTTGCAAGGGATTGAGCTGCATTCCTGATTGTTTCAGTAGAGCCAAGTTCAATGTCCACATGGGGTCCAAGATCAAAGACATCACTGGCCGCTTGGAACAGCTTCTGCAGGAACGATCAGATGAACGTGGATTGCTAGAGCTTTCTGGAGGGACATCAAGTAACGTCGCTGCACCGCAAAGGCCAGAGGAAACTTCAAGCGTCCCACCTGAAAAAGAAGTTTATGGCAGAGATAAAGATGAAGCCAAACTACTTGACATGGTGAAAAGCGCTCAACCAAGTGGTGCCAACTTTCGAGTGATAGCCATCGTCGGCATGGGAGGGATCGGCAAAACGACAGTGGCTCGAGCGGTGTACAATCACGAGGAATTGGAAGGTTTCAAGTTTGAGGAAAAAGCGTGGGTCTGTGTTTCGGTCAATTTTGACGTTCTCACTATCTCAAAGAATATCCTTGGGTCATTAAAACACTCTTCATCCTCCAATCCAAATAATTTAAATGAAGCACAAGTTGAACTGCAGAAGGCAGTAAATGGGAAAAAATTCTTGATAGTATTAGACGATGTCTGGGAGGTAGACTACAGAAAATGGGAACAGCTTATATCTCCCTTCAAAGCTGGTGCACCTGGAAGCACGATGATCGTCACAACACGCCGTGAAGATGTTGCAAAAACAGTAAGATGCTCCCATATTCACCATTTAAAGCTTTTATCCAAAGAAGCTTGTTGGGACTTGTTTACGGAGCATGCACTTGCGACTGGTACTGCTGCTGATGCTGATCTAATTACCGATTCAATTCGTAAGAGAGTTCTTGAAAGGTGTCGTGGTCTACCTCTGGCAGCAAAGACCCTGGGTGGTCTTCTACACTCTAAGCCGATTAATACTTGGGAAAGAATGTTAGATAGCGACGTATGGAATTCATTTGAAGAAAATGATGTTCTGCCAGTACTAAAGTTAAGTTATCTCTATCTTCCTCCGCATTTAAAAAGATGTTTCACATATTGTGCGATTTTTCCAGAAGATTACGAATTTGAGAAAGAGGAACTTGTGCTTCTATGGATGGCAGAAGGTATTGTTCAATCATTTGATACACAACGGGATGTCGCAGGTCAGTACCTTAATGATTTGTGTTCAAGGTCGCTTTTTCAAAAATCAAGTAATGATGGTTCTAAATATGCAATGCATGACCTTGTCCACGATCTAGCTAAATCGGTTTCTAAAAAATTCAGTTTTAGCTTTGAGAAATCCATTATCGAGCTACCAGAAAATGTTAAAAGAATTCGTTATTTTTCTTATCTTTCTAATAGATATGATTTGGAAAAGAATTTTAAGGGCTTGGAAAAACTTGAGAATTTAAAAACATTCTTGCCGATGTATGGAGGTTATTATAATTACTACATAAGTGCTAGAGTTCTCTTTGATTTGTTGCCAAAGTTAGAGAAGTTGAGAGTATTATCTTTAAAAAGATACCGTATCACTCATTTACCTAATTCAATTGGAAATCTGGTTCATCTAAGGTATCTCAACTTTTCTCACAGTAGGATCAAAAGTTTGCCTGAGTCAACAAGCCAATTATTTAACTTGCAAACTTTGTTATTAAAAGATTGTTCTTCTCTCGTAAAGTTACCTTCCAACATGAGATATTTGACCAATCTATATCATCTTGATATAAGTGGTCAAAATTTATTGGAAGAGATGCCGTCAAGAATGAGAGAGTTGAAAAATCTCCGAAAGTTGTCCAACTTTATTGTGGGGAAGGAATCGGGCTCAAATTTGGAAGATTTGAAGAGCTTAAATTTTCTTCAAGGAGAGCTTCACATTTCCAAATTAGAGAATGTGAATAATATAAGGCAAATAGGTGGGTCCATATTAAGCAATAAAAATGATTTAAAAGTGTTGTCATTAGAGTGGGGATCCGAATTTGATGGCTCACGAGTGGAGAGAGTAGAAAAGGATGTGCTAGAAATGTTGAAACCGTATAGCAATCTAGAAAAGCTAACAATTAGATCCTATGGTGGTTTAGAATTTCCATCTTGGTTAAGCACTTCGTCATCACTCTCTAAATTGGCGGTCCTTAAATTAGAAAATTGTAAAAATTGCACAAACTTGCCTTCAGAAAACCTATTGAGCTCACTTAAAGAGTTAGTCATTGAAAGGATGCCGAAACTAGAAAGAATAAATATGCGAATTCCTTGCAATTCATTAGAGGTTCTTCGTTTTAGGAATTTGCAAACATGTCAGTATTGGGACACCAAAGGGGAAAATGAGAATGTTGAAAATTTCCCAAAACTTCGTGAGCTTTCCGTTATTGAATGTCCCGAACTCATCATAGAAATGCTTGATCATCTTCCCTCATTGAAAAAACTTGATATTGAAAAGTGTGCAAAGTGGACGGTTTCATTCTCAAGTTTTCCAAAGCTCACCAAATTAGAAATTGATGGGTGCAAGGAAGTGGTGTGTACTGGTAGTTCTACGGAGTTCATGTCACCTGAGTCTGAATCTCTTCCAAACATTGTAGGATCTGAAAATTGGTTGAGTCAAGGTTTCAGTTGTGTTGAGAAGCCACTAAAATGGAGTCATAGCCTCACCTCTCTTAAAAGCTTATCTATAGCAAATTGTGGTATCTCATTTCTAAACAACATTTTTCTTCCCAATTTGAGTCGTCTTGAGATTAGAAATTGCGAGGCTCTGAAATCTTTGCCGAAAAGATTGAAGCAAAACAACATAGAAAGACTGACAATTTTGGGTTGTGATTCTCTATTATTCATTGCAAGAAACGCACTGCCTTCGTCTCTAAAACGCCTTACGATAAGCAGTTGTGAGCGAGTACAACATTTGGAGGGTATCAGTTCTACTCTTCTCGAGGAGTTGGATATTTCCCATTGTGATTCTCTATTATTCATTGCAAGAAACACACTGCCTTCCTCTCTAAAACGCCTTAGTATAGGGGGTTGTAAGAAATTACAACATTTGGAGGGTATCAGTTCTACTCTTCTCGAGGAGTTGGATATTGGTGATTGCAAGTCTCTCACGTGCCTATCATCACGAGCATTGTTGCCTAAGACACTCAGAATTCTTTATATTTATGAGTGTCGAAATCTCACAACATTATTATCAACAAGGTGGTGCGTACATGAATCACTTGAGACCCTCTATATTGAAGATTGTCCAAAGCTAAAGTCACTAGAAGAGGCATTTAACAATAACCCCCGTCTTCAAGATGTACGTTTAGTGCGTCTTCAAAATCTTGAATCCAATAGATTGTTCGGCCTACATAATCTTACTAGTCTTAAAGAATTAACACTAGATGGGGAAGAGGTCGAAATTAGTAAGAGACTGATTAGATGGGGATTGCACAATCTCACCTCTCTTAAACATCTTGAAATTAAGGGATTTGAAGATCCAGAGCTTATTCTATCGGAGGACCAGCGAATGCCCACTTCTCTTGAATCTTTGAAGATCTCTAATTTCGCACCGTTTAGATCTGTTTCAGATTTGGGCACATTGACCTCTCTTACAGACTTGAGAATTGAGGATTCCCCAAATCTCAAGTCAATTCCAGACCTAGGAAGCCTCGTATCACTTAAAAGCTTCTGCATAGGGAGTTGCCCAAAGATCAAATCAATTCCAGATCTGGGAAGCCACACCTCCATTGAAAAATTCAGCATTTGGAGTTGCCCAAATCTCAAATCAATTGCATGCCTGGGAAGCCTCACTTCTCTTCAAACCTTGCATATCAGTGGTTGCCCAAAGCTCAAATCCTTGCCAAGTCTGCCACCTTCACTTGTGGAATTACGGATCTGGAGTTGTCCATCACTAAAAAAGCAGTGGAGAAGAGGTAAAGGGAAGTATTGCTCAATGATAACTCACATCCCTACTGTTAGAATAGATCGAAAATTCATCTTCAATTCAAAGGAGGAGAATTGAGCTTAATTAAGTGAATTCAAGGATGCAGTCAGATAATCATCAAGGTTTGTGATTTACTTACACCTCGACTATTAGTTGAATTTTTTATATTAAGATATTATGTTTTTATCCTTTGCATTAATTTCAAGTACTAATAAGTTACTCTTTATTTTAATTTGCCAGATAATCGTCAAGGACACAATCACAGTGGTACTTTGTACTGGTAATTTTCTGCAACTTTTGTTGATTAAATTAACTTTAATTTGGTACCTTGTGATAAAACTCAGTTCATTTGGAGTATGAGTTTTAGGTTAATAGGCAACTGAATTTTTTCTTTTTTTTGAAACCATGATACAAGCAAATTCTTCATTTTTTCAATTTTTGTAAGTGAAGTTGAAACGATTTTGGTGCAGAATGTGAATATTAATAGCGAATTAAATAATAATAAGAATTTGTAACCTATTACTGGTAGGGTCACGCCCCTCACGCCACCCCAGGCCTTCTGAGACCCAATCATCTCCCAAATATTGAATTGTGATACATGAGTGGTATTTTAGAATTCATATCCAGATAAAATAATTAAAATCAAATTATTTTTATTGCAATAGAAATAGAGTTTATTGATAGTTAAAAACATTAGTAAAAAGATACTGAAATTTTTAGTTTGATCAATAAGTATTTTTTCAAATATAAAATGTCAAAAAAATATGCATACAATAAGTGGTTTATCATTAATTTTTAAGTTCTTCTTTTTATTATTTCTTTTATAATAAATTACATTTAATTATCGTTATTTTAACTATTAAAACTATCTCTAAATGAAATTATTAATTAAACGTATAAATGACATCAGGAGGTTGTGTAGAATAATATAGGTAGAAAAAGAATATTATGCATATGTTTTTGATAAATCATATTAGATGTAGAATTTGATATTTTCATTTTTCAGTGATTCAGATGAGTTACACATCTGCCATTCAAAGGAAGAACATTAAGAGGCAGAACTTTGAACTATTTTGGCTCTCAAATTGAAGAATCAATCAGATAATTGTCTCATTTCAATCCAGGTTTGCTAATTTCTAACATCTAAAACTGTTTTCCAGATTGTTATCATAACATAGTTTTGTTATTCTATAATTTTGATGGCAATATAAAATTTTGTGATGTTTTCAATAATTGATACATATATCTGCTAAAGTTTCTTTATATTATAGGGTTGTTATATACGAGTTTCATTTCAGATGATCACTTCGTTTTGATTGAGGGGGAATGAAAGTAGACTACGATTGGGAAGGCTGAAATTTTCCATCTCCAATTTCATGTAAGCATAGTGGACACTTTTTATATCTAAACTTTTAACAAGTGATGATTTGAAATCATTTCTGTTTTGCATGTCTAACCACACATTCTGTATCTTATCCTTGCTTTGCATATGGGGTTTATCAAATGTTGTGCCAAAACAAGGATTGCTAAACCTGGTTTTAATGGTTTTAGCATCAGAGGGTGGAGATTTGAGGATAAAGCAGCCCTTATAAGCCCAAAATTAGCTTAATTCTTAAGGTAACTCCTTTGTACTAAAAGCAACTCTCTTTAGTAAGATGAAGGTGTTGTTTTTAAAAAGAGGCTTGGCGAGCACCATGACCGAGTCCATAAAAAAGATAATAGTTATGTTTTTCTTTTATTTTAAAATTCTCATTGCTTGAGAAAAGACCTTGCTTATATTTAGTTAATATATAGAAAGACAATGATGTGTTAAAACAATTTCTTTGGAATAAATTGGTTTAGAATCTGGCTAAAGTGAAAACCGCAAAATGATATATGGCCATAGTTAACTCTTTTACCAAATATTTCCTTTATTGCTAGCTTCATTACCTTCATGAGTTATGCTAATTTTGGTTGTCCTATTCATTTTTATAGGAGAAAATGATGAGAGCAAAGTCAAGTAATGGACATTTACATATCCTATATAAGAACTGGCTGAAATATTTGATGTTCATTAACTACAAGCACATGAGATATTCTTTCTCATGTTAAGTAAACTTGTCTTTACATTTTTTTCAACACGATTGCCTTTTTTTCTACCAGAGCATGTCTACTTAATTGTATTTATTAATGTTCAAGGTAAATCCTAGGATTGAGTGATGAAATTGACACAGCTTTGATAGATTGATGCGCTACCTTGGGTGAAAGACTTGAAGTATATGTGGCCTACAATAGCCATAACCAAATAAAGAGCTGAGTTTGTGACCAGTTCCTATGTTGGTAAGATGTTTAACTTGGATGAGAAATCTTTTAGATTTTGAGATCTCTGTATTGATAACATAGTTGCATCATTTCTGCAGGATATCAAAAATTACAAAAATCTCCAATATTACATCTCTTGAACTTCTGAAGATCAGAAGATGTTCTCTGTTTGAATCTCAAGTCCTTACCAAATGTCTTATTGATGCCTGTCCCCTAAGTAATTTCTTACTAGAAATCTTCTCATGTTGTTGGTTTGCCTAGTCGCAGTACCAATATTGATGTTTATTTGTCCATTGTTAATTAACAGCTTGGTGCAATAAAGAAAAGGGAAGACCAGTGCAGGTAATTTATGCAACTTGTGTTCATTAAATTAACTTTAATTTGATCCCTTGCGGTAAAACTCAGTTTATTTGGAGTATGAGTTTTAGGTAAGGCAACTGAATATATATATATTAACTTAATCAAATTCTTTTTTTTTGAAATCATGATACAAGCATATTCTTCATCTTCTTGCTTTCATTTTTTAAATTTTTTGTAAGTGAAGTTGAAACGATTTTGGTATAGAATGTGAATATTAATAGCGAGTCAAATAATAATAATAAGAATTTGTAACCAATTACTGGTAGGGTCACGCCCCTTACACCATCCCAGGCCTTCCAAGACCCAATCATCTCCCAAATATTGAATTGGGATATAATTAATTAATGTGATACACGAGTGGTATTTTAAAAGTGATAAAGTAATAAAATCAAATTATTATTATTGCAATAGAAATAGAGTTTATTGATAATTGAAAACATTAGTAAAAAGACATTGAAATTTTTAGTTTGATCAATAAGTATTTTTTAAAATATAAAATGTCAAAAAATATAGATACATTAAGTGGTTTATCATTAATTTTATATCGTATTATGTTAAGTTCTTCTTTTATTGTTTCTTTTATAATAAAATTACATTAAATTATCATTATTTTCACTATGAAAAATATCTCTAGATAAAATCATTAATTAAATGTATAAATGACATTAGGAGGTTGTGTAGAATAATATAGGTAGATGAACAATATTATGCATATGTTGTTGATAAATGATATTAGATGTAAAATTTGAAAGTTTCATTTTCCAGTGATTCAGATGAGTTACATATCTGCCATTCAAATGAAGAACATTAAGAGGCAAAACTTTGAACTATTTTGGCTCTCTAATTGAAGAATCGATCAGAGAATTTTCTCATTTCAATCTAGGTTTGCTAATTTCTAACATTTAAAACTGTTTTTCAGATTGTTATCATAACATAGTTTTGTTATTCTACAATTCTGATGACAATATGAAAATTTTGTGATATTTTCGATAATTGATACATATTTCTGCTAAAGTTCCTTTATATTATATGGTTGTCAGATATGAGTTTTGTTTTAGATGATCACTTCGTTTTGATTGATGGGGAATGAAAGTAGACTACGATTGAGAAGGCTTAAATTTTTCTTCTCCAATTTCATGTAAGCGTAATGGACACTTTTTATATCTAAACTTTTAACAAATGATGATTTGAAATCATTTCTGTTTCTTATGTCTAACTACACATTTGTATCTTATCCTTGCTTTACATTTGGGGTTTATCAAATGTTGTGCTAAAACAAGGATTGCTAAACCTGGTTTTAATGGTTTTAGGATCAGAAGGTGGAGATTTGAGGATAAAGCAGCCCTTATAAGCCCAAAATTGGCTTAATTCTTAAGGCACTCCTTTGTACTAAAAGTAACTCTCTTTAGTAAGATGAAGTGTTGTTTTTAAAAAGAGGCTTGGTGAGCACCATGACCGAGTCCATAAAAAATGTAATGGTTATGTTTTTCTTTTATTTTAAAATTCTCAATGCTTGAGAAAAGACCTTGCTTATATTTGGTTAACATATAGAAAGAGAATGATATGCTAAAACAATTTCTTTGGAATAAATTGGTTTAGAATCTGGCTAAAGTGAAATCCGTAAAATGATATATGGCCATAGTTAACTCTTTAACTAAATATTTCCTTCATTGCTGGCTTCATTACCTTCATGAGTTACACTAATTTTGGTTGTCTTGTTCATTTTTATAGAAAGAAATGATAAGAGCAAAATCAAGTAATGGACCTTTACATATCCTATAGAAGAAATGGCTAAAATATTTGATGTTCATTAATTGCAAGCACGTGAGATATTCTTTCTTGTGTTAAGTAGACTTATCTTTATATTTTCTCAACACGATTGCCTTTTTTCCTACAAGAGCATGTTTCCTTAATTGTATTTATTAATGTTCAAGGTGAATCCTAGGATTGGAGTGATGAAATCAACACAGCTTTGATAGATTGATGCGTCACCTTGGGTTAAAGACTTGAAGTATATGCGGCCTACAATAGCTATTACCAAATAAAGAGCTGTGCTTGTGATCAGATCCTATGGTGGTAAGACGTTTCCAACTTAGATGAGAAATCTTGTAGATTTTGAGATCTCTATATTGATAACATAGTTGCATCATTTTTGCAGGAGATCAAAAAGTGCAAAAATATCCAATATTACATCTCTTGAACTTCTAAAGATCAGAGGATGTTCTCTGTTTGAATCTCAAGTCCTTACCAAATTTCTTATTGATGCCTGTCCCCTAAGTAAGTTCTTACTAGAAATCTTCTCATGTTGTTGGTTTGCCTAGTTGTAGTACCAATACTAATGTTTATTTGTCCATTGTTAATTAACAGCTTGGTGCAACAAAGAAAAGGGAAGACCAGTCCAAAATAAACCATGTCCATTTAAGATAGAATAGATGGCAAGTAGTCTCTTGATGAAATTGGATAAGGTAAAAATATATGGTTTACCTACTCACTTCTAGTCTTCACTTAAGAAATTTGTTTTTTGTCAATGCAGTAGCTGACATGTTTGCATTGAAAGGTAGCTATTGTATTAACTGTTTTGCATATTTTTTCAGCTGTCATTTTCATAATTTTTTGTTCTTTGTTTTGCAAGTGATTTAGCCAACATGGCTTGAGATTTGAAATCTAAAGAGGGTTAAGGCCATAACCATCAGATCATTGCTTCACAAACTTGGGTGCTCCATTCAGTCTCCATGGTACCATAAACTTATTGTGATGATAAGAGGAATGTGAAGCCTGAAAAACTGCAGTGGCAAAGCAGCAATGTAGGCACTTGAGTTGAGACAGTTTCTTCTTCCAGTGGAAATTAATTTGTTAAGAAATTGTATAAGAGTGTTGTGAGTTGTGAGGTCTTTCTAAATAATAAGAGCCAAAGACTATAGAAGAAAGTTTCACCTTTCGGTATTTGCGTGCAAAAAGTGGGAGTGTTAAAAGAAATATGAGAGACTGGTGTACGAGGGTTTTGGGTTTGGGTTTAGGCTTTAACATGAGTGCATTAGACTTATACTTTTATTTCCTATTTAGTCATTTGACTCACATTCCGTGGATGTAGGCATAATTTGCCGAACCACGTAAATTTGGCGTTTTATGCGTGTGTGATTGTCTATTTATTTTTCATATCTTTTAGACCTAATTAGAATTCTAAAATCTGTATAAAGTATGCCCCGTATAAGGTCGCTCTCTCCCATACCCACCTAGAAATGAGACAGGTGATATAATCAAGTTGATTTTACCTAGTTTGATGTTGGAATTGTTGTGATAACCATTGGAGAAAGGAAAAGAGGGATCACTAAAATCATAAAGAATCATAGTCATAGAATTTATCCTATCTTGGTCTTGAATCAAATCAATTAGTCTCCTCATTTTTTTTTTTCATATTTTGGTGTGAACATCATTATGAAGAAAAAGTCCACAGTTTCTCTCAAAATCTCTCTGTAATTTTGCTTTATCTGTTGAAGTTTTACGTTTCTTTAAGAAAATTTTCTATTTTTCTGAAATGAAAACAAATAATACATGTTGTTAATTATATATATTGTTGTTTTTTAAAATCTTAAAAACAAAGTCTCCTTTGCTTTGTACATAAAACAGGGTGTCTCCTCTGCTTTGGACATTTTAAAAGCAAAGCTATAATTAAGAAGACTGATAATTGTGTATATAATGTCCCATCATGTTCCAAATTTCTTCATTCCATAAAGCAAATCAAGAAGAATGATTAAAGGATGGAGAAAGCAAAATGGCCGAGGAAAGATTCAATATATTGTGCCCCATGAAACTTGCTTTTATTAAATATTGTAGTGGTGCTTGCACTATAATAGGAAAATATACTTATCTGTATGATTGTCGTATTGCCTTTTTTATTTTTCATATCTCATATATCTTATTCAAGTCATATTTTATAAATCAAGCTGATTTTACCAAGCTGATAATTATATTATAGGAAAAAAAAATTACAAATAAAACAAAACCTCCTATGTGACCACCATATACAAAAGCCATCAAACCAGCACCTCAATCCGACGTAGCCGCCACTTCACAGCCTAGATCCATCACTGAGGTCAAGGCCTTGCGTGGCAATGAGAGGCCGCCAGCCACATATTGGACAATTAGTGGAGAGCACACAATCACGGTGAATGTAAGACAAGGCATGCAATACTCCGCACTTCTTTTGCTTCTCTTTCATTGGAATAAATCCAAGTCATCTTGAGCTGATTGGAACTTAGACTTGAGCTATACTGGAGGTGATTTTATGTATTCTGAAAAAATACGCATACAGTCGAATTAAATTTAACTGGTTTTGACATATCAAGCTAATTTTTTTGGCAAACCTCCAAACAAGGAGGAAACTTATTGAATAATAATAAAGACAACACACTAGTATTAAAGTAAACATACAAATACAAAGAGCATATAATGATCCAAAATGAAGAAAAATAAGTCCAAACAGTAATTTGGCTAGCCCCTGACATCGTGAACGAGACAATTTCATGGCCTAGTACAAGCTGATTGTTGTTAAACAACTTGCACAGTTGGTCTAGATTCTAGATTGGAATCTGTTGTACAATGTGGTCCAAAACAGTATGAACATGCAATAACCCAGAAACATTCATCCACCCAAATCAAGTACAGAAGTAACAATTAAGCAGCAAAAGGAAAAGAAAAGAGAAATAACACCAGATTTATAGTGGTTTGGTAATCTTAACGATTACCTACATCCACTTTTCAGAGCAACCAGAAAAAGAATTCACTATGAGTTTAGAAACCTTACAAAAGAATCAGCTCACCCTTTTTACACAAGGTGTCACCCCGATACAAAACCCTCTGATTTTACACCTGTATACCCATATGCTCTCACCACTCATACATATCCAATAGGCAAAAATCAGTATACATTTATACAGCAAAAAGAAGACTAAACCATAAGGACAGCTCACACCTACCATTAACATTGATTCCATGGACGAACCTCGGATTTCCAGCACAGCACCTCTAACTGATTTCTCTCTCTGTTAACCAAGAGAGAATCGAGAGAAGTGAGCTGTGCACAAGACCTAAAACAGAGTAGGTCTTTTGAAGATAGCAAAAGACTGAACTACCCCTCAAGCCTTAACAATTTACATTTGACCAGCCACACTCCAAGTTGACTTCCACGTGTGTCATCAGAATGCCAAATCACAACAGAATCTAAGCAAGAAAAAGCAACCTCCATAATGGATATGAGTTTGTCTACGACATCATGTGAGGGAGTTGCAAGTCATGGATCCAACAAATCAGTGAGAGCTAAATTCACATTGGAAGACAATGGTGGAAATGAGCAAAGAAAATCTCTTGGATGATTCCCTTTGATTATTTCTAGTGGTAACACTCCAAAGCTATAGACATCACATTTTTCAGTAACATTCATGGTGTGAGCAAACTCTGCAAATGAAAGATATATGTGATTATGTAGCATCTGATGGTGTAAATTAGTTGATAACAGTAGATGAAAAATGAAAGAATTACATAGTCGGTGCAAGTTTTCCATATGTCCCTGCAAGTTCAGACCAATTGGATGGGTCTTGCTTGAGAAATTTGGCAGTTCCAGAGTTAGAAACATGAGCTTCGTATTCCAAATCAACACATTGTTGCTCGATATGTCTCAATGAACAGTTAGTTTGGAGCAATCATGGTGCATGTAAGACAAGGCATGTGCTACACCATGTATAACGTTCATTCTCTCCCTCCAACCTAATACTTTTTGCTTCTACTTCAGTGCTCAATAATTCGGCCAAACTGGCACTTTCAACACATTCGTAAATTAAAAATATTGAGCCTTGAAGCAAAAGGCGCTTATTTCACAACATTTCAATGTCGTATTTCTATCAAGGTGCTTATTTCCTTTAAGAACTCTCTTTGATCTCCCGTCTCTTCAAGATATGATGAGTGAAGTTTTTTAATAGCAAAAATGTCCCTCTAATGGTAGTTCTACTCTATAAACACGTCCATATCCGCCACTACTCATACAATATCTAGGATCAAAATCATTTGTAGCTCTTATGATTTCTTCAGGTACTAGTTTTCCCTCAAATTTTATTATTGAAAGTAATCCTTGAATGTTCACTATACTCTGTTGCTTCTGTATGTTGCTCTTCTATCTTTGGTTAATGAAGTACATTCCAATTACGACAATTGAAAATACAAGTCCACCTAAAAGAGGAAATACAATAGCCCAGGTTTTTCCTAATGTATGTTTGTGTGACTTAAAAGCTAATTCGCAAGATGGCAATCCAGTAGCACCACCACAACATCCTTTGTTCCCCTGCAATGCTTCAATGGGGCATTTTGAAATGCTTTGCTATTCGGATTTGGACCCCACAACTCGTAAGATATGTAAATGCTTGACAAAGCATTCATTACTCCAAAGCAACTTGGAATTATACCATAAAGCTTATTGTGGAAAAGATTCAGGCTTTCCAAGCTATCCAACTTGCAGATTTCAAACGTTATCTCTCCTTTGAGCAAGTTTTGACACAAATCTAGCTTTGACAGTTGACCTAACTTACCAAATTCAAGTGTAATTCCTTGGCTAAGTTGCTTGTTACTTTAGATTCAAGTAGTACAATTTCCACAAGTTGATTGGCTAAGTTGATTATTACTAGAGGATAAATAAGAAAGAATTTCAAGTCGATTCAGAAAGTGAGTTATTAAGAAGATATCGTAAGGAATTGATATGAAGAGGCAAAGAGTAGTAGTTCAGGATGTTGATACTGCCAAAGTATGCTGAGAGAAGAGAAAAGGGAAAAGATTTCTGTATATTTCATTTTGTATAAAACTGTACAATGCTAATTTATACACTTTTTGTAATTGTAAAAATGGAAAACAATGAATACAATTAAATGTAATTATTCAATCAGTCACATAAATTATGGATTGATTGAATGAGAGAATTGCTCCTTGATCACAACCAGCATGAATTAAGGAATTTGTGCATTCCATATTTCGTCACTCCCCTTCAAGCTTGTGGTTTGTAAATGTCAAAAACTCCAAGCTTGCTAAGTAAATATGAATGTTGTCTGCTACACAATGGCTTTGTGAAAATGTCTACTAATTGTTCTGAAGTACGAATGTGTAAAGTCTTGATTACCCCTTCTTGCATCTTGTTTCTGACAAAGTGCCAATCAATCTCTATATGCTTTGTTCTTTCATGGAATACTGGATTTGCTGCGATGTCATTTGTAGCTTTGTTATCGCAGTATAAAAGGACAGGCTTTCTTACTTGTATCTTTAGATTTTCTAATAACCTCAAAATCCAGATGATCTCACATGTTGTTTTGGCCATGGCTCTGTATTCGACTTCTGCTGAAGATAGAGATACTGTTGATTGTTTCTTGGTCTTCCAAGAAATAATAGCTCCCCCTAACTTGATACAGAAACTAGTAAGTGATTTTCTTGTCATTGGACATGTGGCCCAGTCTGAGTTACAATGAGTTGTGACAACTAATTCTTTGTCTCGGGGAAGGAGAAGTCCTAATTCAGGACATCATTTCAAGTACTTTAGAACTTTTATTGCTGCATCCATGTGAGATTGTCTGGGCCCATGCATGAACTAGCTAAGAATGTGGACTGCATAACTAATGTTTAGACGAGTCATGGTAAGATAGATCAATCGCCCAACAAGTCTTTGATACTTTATAGGATCTTCCAATGGTGGATCATTTTCGGAAGATGATATCCCAATGTCATATTCTTGAGTAGTCAGCTTTGTATTCTATTCTACTGGAATGATACTTGGCTTGCATCCTAATAGTCTTGAATCAGAGATAAGTTCCAAGACATATTTCCGTTGGCTAAGGGATATTCCTGCTGGGGATCTTGCAATTTCAATGCCTAGGAAATACTTTGGCTCTCCTAAATCCTTTATTCGGAATTGTCTGTTAAGATGCTCCTTTAAGGATTCGATACTTGTTTCATCATTCCTTGTAATAAGAATGTCATCGACATATATGATGAGAGCAATAAACGTTTTACCTTTGTTCCAGGTAAATAATGCATAGTCATGTTTGGACAGAACAAATCCTATGCCAGTGAGAGCTTTACTAAATTTCTTATTCCATTGTCGGGATGCTTGTTTTAGCCTATAGAGGGATTTCTACAAACGACATATTGTGTTCTCCCCCTGTCTGCGTAATCCTGGCGGAAGGTCCATGTATATTTCTCCATGAAGATCCCCATGAAGAAAAGCATTATGAACGTTCATTTGATGA